TTTGCGAACTTTTGATGGGCTTTTTTTGAAATGGGCTTCTTTTCGAGACTACTTTTGCAAAGTAAAAAGGGGGCTTCTTTTCAAAATGAATGCTGTAAATTTTGTGAATTTGTATTATAAAACAATAAATAAGGCCACTGTAACATCAATGGAGTGTATTTAACTGGCAGTAATTCACAAAAACCACTTTATAAACCAAGCTTGTATTTAAATTATTTTGTTTTCTGAAATTCATGTACAGTGTATGTACTGTACTATTGTATCTTGAAAAGAAGACTATGCTATCTTGAAAAGAAGCCCATGGGTCTCTTTTGAGATGGGCATCTTTTCGAGGCAAATTTTGCAAACTAAAGAGGAGGGCTTCAATTGAAGATGGGCTTCATCTCGAGATTAAGCCCACTGGGCTTCAATTCAGGGGATTACGGTATATACCCAAGTAAGTATATCTTTAAATTTAGAATCACTAAAACTTATTTCATCAAATGTTTTTACCACTCCTATAGTCTGTCATAATACAATTATCGTCACAATACTTAATACTTAATCTACTTAATACCAAAGCTTGTGGAATTAACAGAATGATGAGAAACATACTCAGCCAAGTTAAGAACACTATTATTTAATATGAAGCAGTTTGGTGTAAAAGAAGCTGTAACTGAAATATATTTGCGCTTCATAACCACAATGGAAAGGCGCAATATAAACCCATTACCAGTAACCACGCTAAAAACAAGAATTGTACACAAATCTCTAAATCATCATTGAGAAATGCCTCCCACTGACATTAAAGATGTATTGTCCCCTGAAAATGACATGTGAATTTTTGAATTCAAAAAAATGTGTATCCTGAATTTTATACTGGAAAATGATTAAAAATTAAACACTTCCAGTGACTAGACTGAGTGTTTCTATCATTTTTCACTGTAAAATTATAGGTAAATATTTTTAGTCATAAATTTTATGGTACTTCAAAATAAGCATGTTAATTTAAAAAATAATTTTTAAGATTTCTTTTTTTTGTATTTGCATGGGACAATAAATATAAACAATATCAGGATCAGGTGTGTGTCAAATACTGGCTGAATAACCTCTGCACACAACAAAACTGTGCTAAGATTAACATAAGCTTTAATTTGGTCTTTGAATGGCTTCCCTAGGATAAATAGATCCAGAGATATTAGCATTTAAAGTTTAGGTGTATGAGAACCAGGTTTTGAGAAAATCGGCCTCAAAATAAACTAACCTGTACAAATAATAGGACTAGAATTACAGAATATGCGAAGAGAACACTGTTTTAGTAAGAAAATTCACTTAAAAAGTACACAATCATAAAATATAAGTATCAAGTTATTCAAAAACATTAAAATCAAAATTTTGTAAAAATGTTGCCTTTGACCTATTTTGGTGAATATCTCAATATGATTTCACCAACGATGCGTCTCATTTCGTGGTAAGACCTCACAAATGTCTGGGAAATTTCTGATGATCAGTGGTATATATATCAGACCACAGGAAATTAATTAATTACAGACTTATGTCAGATTCACAGACAACCCATTAAGAAATATAATTGTATCTCATGTGTAATCCATGTACGTTCCATATAAGAATTACATTAATATACATGGTGGATTTTGGAACTTCATATATATAATATATATTCATTTATATATACTGTACTGTATTTATCCAAATACTGCATAGATCTCCCATGATTCTCTGTTGCACAAACACCAGAAAATAACATCAAAATGCTTGAGGTTCTGCTACTCATGTAGCAAAAGGTTGGTGGCCATCGAAACGTCGTTATCTGTGACGGACAAAGCATCAAGAACTTCTGACCTGCTAAACCCCATGTCGGTCAACTGTACTATCTTGTCTTCCGGTGGCTGTGGAGCTAGAGGGTGCTGTTGTGCTTGGTTTTCATTATCTGTATCAAACTGAGAAGAGGCAGCTTCTGAAAATAAATGTAATGGTTTTTTAAGTATTACTAGAAAACAGAGAGAAAGAGAAAGAAAAAGAGCTATGGAAAGGAAAATGCAGGATAAAATGAGACACCAAAATAATTGATTTATTTTTTATTTAATTATTTAATAAACTTTAATAACTTCACGAAACAAGTTAACAAAAAAAAGTATTGCCCAATGGGCAGAAACTGACGGAAAATTCTGGAAGCGGGCTTCACACAGCAGTGGGCGAAACAGCCACTTGACTTATTGATTGATACTAGGAGAGTTTACATCATCATATTTATACACAAATAAAACTAAACAATGAATACAACAATAGAAGTAAGTCGTCTCTGTACTACAACAGCAATCAACACCAAAGCTCTCTCCACACTATTAAGTTTTATGACAATTTGTGACATATGAACATGCTCATATATGGAAATTTCACAGATATTTGTCATATTAAACTTGAAAGAGCTTTAATTTCGAGAGGCAAATCGCAGCTACAGCGTCAACATAATCTACTATTCAACTTTACCTGCTTGTGGTTGGTTTTGTTCTGAGTTGTGAGTATTGCGTCTTCGAAATGCCTGTTAAAGGGGTTAATAAAAATGCAAATTATTCTTTATAATTACAAACGTTCATTACAAATGTGTTAATATTAACAAACCTGGTTTAGCTCAGTTTACATAGGAATGGTAATTTAAAGGTTGCAGGATTAATTCCCACACTTCTATATTTGTTTGCTTTATGTACAATTAATTAACTATAATCGCAGAGATTCATATTATTTTATTATATAATTATATAACAATTAGATATCACTTGTGTCTTTAGTGATTTGAATCTTTTAATTGAGCCAGTCAAAGTATTTTTAATTAATTTTTTTTTTAAAGTTTGGCATTATATTATTATTATTAATTCATCAATCGCAATCCATTTTCAGTTTATTTTTGTATTTATACATACAGTACTTTTTTTGAAAATTAATTTGTAATATACTATTTTAAATAAAACATTCATTCATCTCCCTGCATTGTGTTTATGCCAAAGTACCTGTCTCCTCCTGAAAAGTGGCCTTTGATGGTTTTGGTTCATAAAGCCCTGTGCTTGGGCTAGCAACATCTGCTGTTCTAATAACTCCAACCTTTGCTGTCTTTGGATTTCTTGTGTTGCTCCCATGGGCTGTGTAAGTGGCTGGGGAGGGTTAGATCTGAACACAGGCCCAAGCGTGCTACTAAAGAATTCTGCTACACTCTGTGGTATTGTAAACCACTGCTGGATACCAAAGACATTACATCGATGTAAAATTCCCATAAAAATCCCACATAGGGCAAATATTGCATTCATTGGCTCCGAAAACACTATCTGCAATAGAAATATTATTTAAATGAAATTTTTTTAACTGGGAATGAAGATACTTTTTGATGATATATCTCACTTGTTAGCTTGATTATGGCACTCTGTAAGTTTGACAATAAAAAAATATATCACCTTTAAAAGAAAAATGTAGATAATGAGATAATAATTCAAAATAATATACTACCTACCTAATAAAATATTATAATTAATAATAAATGAAAATCAATTACTAAATTATTACCACCTCCACCACCATATAAACCAACACCACTAAAGACAACAAAGACAAAAACAATAGCTTTCTGCATTTTTTCTTTTGTTATACAGTACCAATAATATTATTAACAATGATTAACAGTAACAATATACACAGTAATATGAAATAACTAGATTTGAACTTGTCACTGAGGACGAGTTTGGAGATCCGCAGGAAGTGCGTGCGGTGCAGATTGAAAAGTTTTAAATGCTCAAAATGGCCTAAAATATATGCTCCAATTAGTTTTTATAAAAGAAGAGTAATTTCGAGCATTTTAAAAGATTTACGCATGCGTAAGCGCACGTTTTGACGCCTGTACGCACGGTAATGGCACAAAAAGTTGACTCCTGGTATAAATACAGTGTCAGGAACCCAAAATATGTAATAAAACGTAAAATTTTAAGCATATATAATTGTTTACGCACACGTACGCAGACGTTAAGACGCGCAAACGGAAAATTAAGGTACCTGACATTCAACCTTGACCTGAAGTGTATGCACATTTAATATGATTCAGAAATGACAAATGGTTAAGATGATTATGGGGTCATCGAAGTTTTGAGGAGAGAAAGATGAAAGGGGGGGGGGTCAGAAAAAACATTTACTTTAACCATGATGACATCATCAAAATGTAAAAAGAAGTCATATATATGAAAGAGAATTGTCTCAGCTACAACATACTCAAAGTTGGGAGACGATTAACCAAGGATAAGTGAGATACACTCAAATGCATATTTTCAAAAATGACGTCATAGATAAAATTCAGTTTTATTGAATTCAGATGGCAATATGATGATGTCACAATGTCCGATCAGCCATTATGCTCTATAACATCATACTTACAACTCATGTGCTTTCAGAATTGGGAGTCACTTTTCATCCTAAGGAGTTATAACTGTTTAAAAATAGGCCTGATTTTAGCATAATTTCACTGTATATCGGCACAAACGCGCGCAAAGTTCACTATGTTTGATGTGTGCGTACGGCATTGTTATTGGCCATAAGATGACAGAAAAGATCAGAAATTTGTGAAAACAATGTCAGGAACCCAAAATATGTCAGAAAACATAATTTCTAGCTTCCATACGTGCTGTGCGCGTAAAAATGCATGCGCGTAGTGGAAAATTTCAAAAAAATTTGAAATGCTCAAAATGGCCTGAAACATGCTCTTATTTAGTCAATGAGTGATTGTGAGCATTTTGAAATTTTGATGCACGCGTACGAGAGCGTTATGAAGCGCACGCATAAAAAAAGGGTACATTACAGTCAACATTGACCTGAAGTTAATGCTCACTTAATACGATTTCGAAATGGCAATTGGTTAGGCTAATATGATCGATAATGTAAAAATGCAAAATTGCACGTAGATGACGTCACGCATGACTGGTCACCTTGAAAACCTTACCGTGACTATTCCAGGAGAAGCCAAATGTTCATTGAAGTGTGCTTGTGTGTGGGTCGCGGCAATTTTGAGATATTGTGCGAACAGAAAAGGGGAGAAAGAAAGAAGAATAAAAAAAAGAAGATGAAGATGATGATGATCCTGACAATAACAAGAGGTGATCCGCACTAGATGCAGATCACCAATTATGTTCTTATACAGTAACAATATACTGTACAATATCAAATACTTACTTGTAGTCCCATAAAATAAGTTAGTGTCTTTCTGCTAAATGGAACCCCGAGTACTTGAGTGGTTCCTGTTCTAGGTATATCCAAGTAGTACTTGACAAACAATGACATTAAAACACTCTGACTGCAAAAGAAAACAACCAAAATCAATAACCTTTCTTTTGTTAGCTACTTTTTTTTTTAATGATTTTATATTTGTTAAATTTATTATTTTATTGATTATTATCTCAAGAATATATACGTTTTTAGTTGTGTAGGTTTGGGTGTGTGTGTGTTCAAAATTTCTCAAAAAAAAGCTGTACAGATCTAAATAACATTTACAGGGATTGTGGGGCTGGGGGTTTGGGGCAGAACATGGTGTCTTTTTAAGATTAGCAGAGCGAAGTGGGTGGGGTGGTGCTTGGAAATTAGGAACATATTTTGGGAGATTTATTTTATAGAAAGGAGTTTGCAGTGGGCAAACTCTACTGAGAGCTCTTGTTACAAATATTATTGCTATTATTATTAATATTATTATTACCATTAGTTTTCATTTCTCTGTAACTTATTACTTTATTTTCTATGTCAATATATATTTTATAAAATATTGAAAATCTATTTTATAGATTCACTGGGTGGTTGTCTCAAATTAAATTTTAGACTTGCTAATATTAACAACATAGGCCTGTAAGGGTTGTAATATAAATGATTGAATGAACGAATGAATGTATGAAAGAAAAAATTAATGAAAGAGCAAGCAAGCATGTGAAGGAACTTATAAATAATGAATGAATTTATGTATGAGTTACTAATTTATTTTACTACATTCGCTGAAAAAAAAAATCACAAATTCTATTAAACTTACAATCCTGGTTGCCATGATATTCTGTCATATCCAGCAAATTTAAACATGAATAAAAATGTAACTTCTAAACTTGTACATAAGATGACCATTGCTAGAATATAAGACTGTAAAGGAAAAAAAACAGGTTGAAATCAAAACATTATTGAGATTTGAATTAAGTATAACTGACAACACATCATAGAGGAAGATGAGTATATTATAGTTATTACATGAATGGGTGAGGCTGTCAAATTTAGATGTTTACACTATGTCGGCCGACTGCTGATCTCAACAGACTGGAATTGGCCACCAGCTTAAAAAGGTTGAATACCCGAGTTTGGATATGTATGAGATCATTCTGGGCACCAACGTGGGTTATGACATAGGTTTGTCACATTTAAAATTAGTATGAAATTGGCAAAATCTAATGTAAAGACTTAAGATAATTTCAGTGTTAACTAGGCTGGATGGAGTATCAAACCCAGAAGAATTCTGTTAAACAATCAGCAAATTTAAGTTCACAGAATTTTGTGATCTAAATTAAACAAGCATCAGTTTCATGTTTGATTTGAAGGAGAAATGATAAATTATCTTCCAAGATTTACCTCTCGTCTACTTTACAACCACTAAACCTCACGCCAGTGCATTTGTTTACAACAATCATAGAGCTATTAAACATCGTGTAATGTCACGTGAGACGCATGTGGTCCGCCTTTCTGAGTGAAATTAGGCCTAGTGAGTGTCTTTGGTACAATAGTTCACGCATGCCACATGACATACATAGGCTGGTCTGCCGATTTCGCACTAGCTGTACCTCTGAAATCTAACATTTGCTTTGCTTCCTTCCTTGTTGATATTAGCAGGTTTTTCACAATAAAATATTAAATTTTAAGGTTTGATTCATGTTAAGATTGTTATTGTGTGATATAACTGAAATCACAAAATAAAGATCCTGTTGTACATGTCCATTATTTTGAAATCATGCATAAAAAACTTTGTTAGGCCAGAGCCATTGTCGGGAAATGAAGGTAAATAAATAGTCTTTAAATTATAAAATTATACAGTTACAAATATTTCATTTACTTGTATTTTCTGGTATTTATTATTTTTACAATATAAAATTTTGCGAAAGGTTTTTGTCGGGTAAAATTTTAAAAATTACCTTAAAGTATAAAGTAAAAACAACATTAAACTTACAGAGAACTTCCTTGATCCTGCCCTTCTTTCAAAAATTCTAAAATAATACAGAATTATAAGACCACACACCAGATCAGTTACGTCCAGGAACACAAGTTTACTTGATAACAACTTCCAAATCTAATTCAATGACAATGGTAATAGTAATGGTAATGGTGGAATATTTGTAGTGCGCCTTCCACAATAAAATCGTCTCAAGGCGCCGAAAAAAGGTAGGACCAAGAATTTAAAAGAAATTAAATTATATTATATCTTATATTAAAGAGCCTATATTAATCAGAATATTTTTTATTTTATTTATTATAAGTTAAATAAATATAAATAAAAGAATAAAGTAAATAAATAACAAATAGAAAATATATAATTAAATAAATAAATAATTGATAAATTAAGCCTTCAAAAACAGGCAGACCAAAGAATGGAAAAAACCAAGCAGCAACATGAAAAATGCGCACTCCTGTTGTTGAGACGGCGTCACCACCACTACC